GGGTGGCAGACCGCGGCGGCCGCCGGGGCTGGGGACGGGCCACCGGGGCGCTCGCAGCCGCCAGACGTCCCCTGCGTACGGGGACAGCGAGCGCCCTGAGCCCTCTCGGCGCGTTTCTGTGGCTCCGCAGCCCGAGCCAGGGGGAGAGCGGGTTCCTGAGCGAGTTAGGTGCTCCCCAGCGGCACCCGGCGCGGAACCTCAAAGCGCAAGTCGGTCCCCGTCAGTGCGGTGACCCGAGCAGCCCGGGCACCCTCCGAACAACTAACGGCGAGGAACTGTTCCAGCATCCGGCTCCGGGGACGGGTTTTTCCCTGTTCAGATCGGATTTTGTGGGTGTCAGTTGTACGCGACCGCATCGCCGCTGTTAATGTGATGGGAATATCGCTGGGACCGCTGGAGATGGTGCCCAGACACCCCTCCGTTTTGTGTGGGGTTTTTTTCCTTTACGAGACAGATAATTATTTTGTAATCTCTTCAACTTTGTCAGGGCCGTTTATTAGCTGTAACAGGTTTACTCATGCATATTTACATTTTACGGGATTTTAAATACTAGTTTGTATTTTGTTTCAAAGATGCAGTCCGTGTTCACTTGGTTATGCGATCTTTGTAGATAATCTGGTTTAAAATCAAAATTGTTTCAAGCCGAATGTGTAAAGAATCAAATATTCCTGGGATAATAGTATGTTATTTTGTCACTTTATAAATTATAAATGATTTTTTAAAAAACGCTCCAATTCCTCGGTTGGATCTTTTATTTCCAGTCGGGGAGACTCGCAGGACGGCGTATTTTTCGCGCAGCAGTGAGCTTTATCGGACTCACCTGCCTTGTTTAAAACGGGAGAAAGTTCGCGCGGTGAGGGACAGGGGCAGAGCTGGCCCGGGCAGGAGCAGCTCCGAAGTGGGGGGCTGAAGGCAAACCGCCGCGGGTCGCCTCCAGCCCGGGCTCTTCCCGGCACCTTGACTCCCGGCAGACATCGCCTCTGGCTGAACTCGGGTGGAACTCCCGAGCGCCCTTTGCTGCAGGGAGCTGACAAAGCCCCTCCGGACCGCGCTCCGGAGACAACAGGTCCCGCAGTGGAAAGACTATCTCAAAATAAATAGGTTTTAATTATTCATCTAGCTGTGGATTTTTTTTTTTTAATTGTCGCTCTACCTTTCCCCAGCTGATCTTCCTATCTCTGAAAAAGCTATTTTGCAAAGCGGCTTAGGAGCTTCGCTTGTTCAAAAGCCCTATTCCTTATAATCGGGGCTATTTTGAATAGGTCTATCAGCGATCTCAATACGGTTTTCGTTTGATGTATAAATTCCTAAGGGAATTAACCGTTTCCTTTAGGTTGCAGCCTGTCGCCTATTTTAAACCATAACTGTTATTGTAGCCCCATCGATTTCATACAACAATTTTATTCTTCACCCTTTTCCCCTGCCACGGGAGATGTACCGTACTGCCTGTCTTTAACATAAGCACGATTTTCGCCGTTTCTTTTTTAGAACAGAGCAGGGGGGAGGGGGCAGCGTCCGCCTTTTTTGCCTCTGGCATGTTAATTTGTTGTTCAAAAAAATTTTTTCAGGATATCTTAAAATAAAAATAACGTCTGATGCCAATTAAAGCTGCCGTAGGTTACTCGGGAGCAGCCTCCGGAGAGGCCGGGAGCGACGCTTCACGCTGGGAGCGGAACCCTGCCGGGGTGCCGGGCAGGGCCGCCGTTTCCGCGGAGGTTTGGGGGCAGGAGGGCTTCGTTGCCACTGCGGAGCGGCTTGGGGGGGGGCAGGCGAGAGGGAAGAGCGGGGCTGGCGGCGGGGCCCTGCGGGCTGGGCTCCCACCAGCGCGCCGGCGAGCAGGTGCTTGCCCACGGGCGCAGGTGGGAACGGCCCAGCCTCCGCGGGGCGCCGCTCCGCGCCCGCGGGAAACAGCTCCCCCTTTCCGCCCCGGACGCAGGGCGGCAGCCCCCGCCGCGGCCCCCTCCGCCGCCCGCCCCGACGGCGCGGGTTGAGCGGCGCAGGTGGCACCGGGGTGCGGCGTACGGGCTTCCCCCTCCCGCGGGTGACAGCCCAGCATCGCCCCCCAAAACCCCCCACCGCGGCCGAGAAGGGTGCTGGCCCGGCGGCGCCCACGCGTGGGGCCGCAGGAACAGCTCCGGCTCCAGGTCGCGCCGGCCGCGGATGGGACCCCGCAGGGGGCATGTGGAGGCTCCTGGCGGAAAGCTGCAGCCCATCGGGCAGAGAGCGCAGCTCCCGTCGGGGAGCCGGGCCGGCGCCCCCCTCCACGCCCGGCCCAGCCAAGCGCCCTCTCCCCGGGAAGGGAAGAGGCTTCCCCGGGGAAACCACTCTCCCGGGTGCCCCGGGGCCGGACGCGCCCGTCCCGGTGGGCCCATCGCCTCCCCGACGCACTCGGGAGGACGACATCCCGGGCGGGGCCGGGAGCCCGGGGCCGCGCCAGCCGCCCCATCCACGGCGAATTCTCCTCCGTCCTGGAGGAAAACGGACAGAGCTGGGGGTGCGGTTGGCAGTCGGCACAGCCCCCGAGCTCCGCCTGGGGCGGCGGGACCCCCCTGGACCTCCAGCCCCGCTTCTCAATCGCGGAGACGGAGGGCGGGAGAAGAGGAGAGCCTGGCGCGGCCCGCAGCCCTGCTGCTTCCTCTTTCACGCTTAAAAACAAATCCTAATTTAGACCCTCAACACCCCGGACCGTGTTTACATCCCCCCCCGCTGCTCTCCCCGCGAGTGTTGCTTTTCCAATTGTCCCGATTAACCTACGGGGCTCCCGCGCGGCGCGGAGCCTCCGCGGCGGCCGGGACGGCGCGGTCGCGTCTAATTGGCTTATTGGGCTTCTCCCCCCCTACACACCCGGGTAAGAGGATCTGAACAGCATCTTCTCTTGTCGAGCCTAGAAACTTGAAAGCTCCTCCGCCAAGAGAACACGGGGAATCACACGGTCAGCAAGTTTAAAGGAGGCGACTAAAAAAAAATCACAGGGTTTTTGCAGTAGGGAAAAAGTACGGGAACCTCAACGCAAACCGTGGATGAATTAAAAAAAAAAAAAAAGAAAGAAAACTCGACCCCTTTGGCCCGGCCGGCACACAGCGCCGGTCCTCAGCCGCGGGTACTCCACAGCCAGCGGTGCGGTGCGCCCGGCTCCGCGGCCACCGCCCGCCCCAAGCAGCAGCCGCCGCCGCCGTGCCCGGGGCTCGGGGCAGCCTCGGAGCGGCACGGGAGTGCCAGGGGAGCCCGCCCCCCCGCTCCCCTCTTTCTGTGACCTGCCTAGATTATTAGTAAGGACATCTGCGGCTGGCAAGGGAACAAGTGTTACCAAAACCAGAACCGGCTGTTTTTCCAAATGAGCAATATGTTAATTCCTCATCCCCCCCTCTGGTTTCTTTAAAACCTGGCACAAATACATCAATAGCGGAGAATAAGGAGCCTTTGCAGAGAACAAGTGGCAGTTTTGAATTTACCTTTTGTGTGCGCCTCAGATGCAATCTTGAGGCATTTTCTCCTCTCTCGCACAGAAAAAGAGTGTTAATCTGCCCTATCTTGGGACCCAAAAGGATTGGAGTGGAGTAGATATTCACTGGAATCACATAGGGGAATAAGGGTCTTGCTTTATTGAATCATCAAATCCCAGGAATGAAGCTCTTAATTAATTATGGGTGCTAAAAATTCAGGCCAGCTGTTTCTTTTTACTTGGCTCTGACAGAGAAAGACAAAGTCTACATCGAGATCTTCTAAGGCGCATTCAGCATAAATCAGCGCCCTCGGCGGCGCTCCCGGCCGCGGCGCGGCCCGGCGGTGACAGATGGCGCATTGTCCCCGCATTCCTCCACCGCGCCTCCGCGGTCGCGGAAGCGGCCGCCCGGCGGCGCGGCCCGGCCCGGCCAGGGACCTTTCTCTGCCGGGGAAAGGGCTCGTCCGGGGCCGGCGAAGAACGGGCCGCGCCCGGCCGAGGTGTCGGCCCTGCCCGACGGGGCGGCCGCGGGAGAGGGCTCCTGCGCGGGCGCTGCGTTTTCTTGCCCGACAGCGCTCCGCAGGCCGCCTCCTTCCCCGCCGGCAGCTCCAAAGCGCCGCTTCCAGCTCCTGCCCCCGCTCCCGGGCTGTAGCGGGAGCCCCCGGGCCTAATGCCCCCTCGGCCCCCCGCCCCGATGTGGACCCCGCTGCAGCCAGCACCCTCGGTGCTACCTCCACCGGAGCGCCGGACGCTGACCCGAGGGGACACGCG